GTAATTATTAGGGGTGAATCAGTTGTAAAAATATTTCAAAATACAGGTAATAGAGCAGGTCACTTCACTTCACTTAAACTTTATAGTGTTGACATGCAGGACTGAAAAAATTATACACAGTGCATGGCACATCATTATTACATTTCATGATCGATTATATAGCGGTTTCAAAGGCCTAAAAATCAGCGCTATTGCCATTGGCAGTCTCTGGCAAAATTGCTCCATAGAAGTATTGCCCTGGGTTTCTCAAACTCATTAATTATTCATGAGGTATCCAGCCAATCTGTGTTTGTTATTTGTACCACATGCAATGCTTGAAATCCCAGGCTTTAACCTTGTTTACAGTTACCTCGACCTTATTCTATCATTAYAACACCGAGTTTCTGTTGGGGTAACTCTGAAGATAACTTGCTTTTAAATCTTTTGAATCAGGACATAATTTGAAAAGCTTTTGTATGTTGTTTCAGATGCCAATTCGGGAATTAGAAGAAAACATTAAATTGTGCTTAATGTATTCCTTCACTTTTTTGTATTTTTTTTTTCTGATTTTCTAATATTTCAAATAATTAATGAGTTTGAGAAGTCAAAGGCCTCCAATCAGACTGGACTGGACTGGCTGACGCCTCACACTGGAACTAATTGCATGGACTTTGAAATCCCGTCCATGCAGTCCTCATTGTAAGCCTTTAAACATTAAATGAAACTGTTAAACAAAATACATGCCATAAAAATACTGACAATACAAGCAGACAGCATTTAGAAATAATACAAATGATAAYACATCTAAAGTAAAACAAAACACACGCACACAAAAAAAAAAACACTAAGTGATCAAAATCAAGTTCCAGATGGGATTTGAACCCATGACCTTCCAATATTGGYATACTTGGATGCTCTAGCCACTGAGCTACTAGGAAYTTAATGATTTTCTTTTTCTGAAGTTGATTTGGGAGAACAAATTATAGCATCCTAATTATTTTACAGTATATAAAAAAAATTAAATTTAATACAAAAAGCACATGTGAATCACATATTAAATGACTTGCTTGGATCCATCTAAACGAAAGCATGAGCTTAGAAAAAGGAACCACCCATAGTACYATGCACAGTAAACACAGCATGTTATAAACAATTTTTTATCCATCAATGTCTTTTTAATTGTTAATTTTGTTGAATAGYTGAATGTTAATATTATATATTTTTTYRTGTTTAGTTTTCATTGCTAGRCTTCATTAKAGGTTTTCTAAAATATTGTGTATAAAATCCTCTTACAACWACTCACAGATCAACTTGCTTTTAGTGTACCTTGCAATACATGCTTCTGCAACACAAGGGGATGATTGGTTATTGGTCAAAATCCACATCAGATCAGAGTAATCAATAWGTTGCAATGAATTTCTTCATAAAGKACTAATTAAAAAGCTAATAAAAATATAATTTAAGCCTTACTTAAGCTTAATTATCATTTAATATTATTTAAAAACTAGTGAGGTTTTTAACTAATCAATTTTACTGTTTCAAAAATGTTTGTAAAAAAAGGTGCTGCCACAAGGGTATTAATTGACATCTAAGCTTTTAAATTCATTAAATCAAGCTAGAACATATAACTAGAACATTTTTAATGAGGATCGCTATTTGCAGAGTTGAGATCTGAGTTAGGATCTGAGTTAGGATCTGAGTTAGGATCTGAGTTAGGAACAGAGTTAGGATCTGAGTTAGGATCACAATAAATGATGAAGCCATGAAACATCTAATGAGAAGTACCAATAAAAGCTCAATACAAAAGTAAAAAGAAGTTTTATTGGGCAGAAATACGAACCCGACCTTGGCCTCACGGTCGTACACGTACTGTTGAATGTTACTGCTGTCAGCAAGTAACTCAGGCTCATCCTCGCTCAAAATGGCTTCTCGTGGCGATGCCGGGTAAGGTATTGTTTTATTCATGAATCCTCATTGATCATGCAAATTACTTGACATCGTGAATGAATTAAAGCAAGAACGTATAAAGTGATCCTCTATTACATGTTTTGTTTGTGTATTAATACTAATCGTCTAAAAAACTTTAAAGACTCGAACACGTTGGTCATTTCTAAAAAAGCTTGAAAGACTTGATCATGTGCTAAAAACTGACTCTGTTTTTTCTTCGTTTTGTTTTTAGCGAGGATTGTATAGACATTGAAGGTTTGTCATAATATAAATCATCATTATTATAGCTTATTGTTTCTTTTGATATGTTGGGCTTAACATTTTTTTTTGTTTTTATCTCTTTGCTAGCTCCTTCTGATCCTGTGCACACTACATCCTGTCAAAATCCCATTGTAATATCAGGCAAGAATAGTTTATATYAAAATAAGACTGTACTTATTATGGAAATTAATGAAATATGGACGCTTATAATTTTGATCTATTCATTTTGATCTACACAAATTTGAATTAGATTTGTTTTCTCTTGATTTGATTTTGAATATGCCCAGTAGAGAAAAGAAATAATATAAAACGATTGGCAATTTTCGTCTTTATATTATAGTTGTTATATATTATTCCAAGGATTTAATGATGCTAAAACTTATGATTTCTCTTTGATTTCTTCTGTCTTCTTTTTTGTGTTGACTATTTTAGATTCTCCAGTCAAAGAATTGTATATTATTGTATATTTATCTCAGGTAAGTTTGTTTTAGATATATTTAAGAATTTAAGGGAAAAAATGCTGGATTTAAATCGTGTTTTATTTTGATTTCTGCAGATTCGCCAGTTAAAAATTGTCCTGAGAAGTAAGAAAACAAAAAATTAAAAAGTTCAATTTTTGTTTGAATTGACTTTAAAATTATTATTAACTCGATCAATTCATATGTTATCTTTCTTCTTCCTCTAAGAGTCCCTAAAAAAGGAAGACGATGACTCAGCTGATTTTGAAGGTCAGTTTGTTTRGAAAARGTCATTCTACTCTTACTGTTTCCTCAMAATTATAATATGTATTTTTTTTCTAGAAACTCACGTRGAACACCATCCAAAAAGGTATGATTTACCAAATACAGTCAAAAACAGTCCAGTACTCCCAATTTTTAAAAATCATTTGATTCTTGGAAGAGAAAAAAGTTAGCATAGTTAAAAAAATAAACTACTGCATTATATTCCATCAAAATTCGCCCATGTTTCTATGCATTAAGTCATCCTAAGGCCGCGGTCGCACATTMGACAACTTTTTGATATGTCCATGAAATKTTTCCAGCATTTTTGTCAACGGCAATGTCTAGGACAACAGAATTGTTGACCTACGTAAGGTCGTACAGTGTTGAATGTTTTAACATACTAAAACAAAATAAACATTGGCTGTCAATCATACTGACCAATTTTTTAATTCATGGCGCGAAAAGATCAAGTACACTGTTACAGTTGTAAACAACAAAATTTTATACAGCTATGAATCAACACCAGCTTGCGTCTTTTTTCGGGTTTTACTTTTATATGCTTTTAATGAACGCAACATATSAACATCAACGGGCTATTCTTCTAGCATGCATGATACAAGTACGCATTTTACAAGCACAAGTCATACTTGTGCAAAGAAGACGGCGAAGACTTCGAATGCTACAACGCCGGCAGCGTCGCAGGTTCTGGGTTCTACCTCGTCCACAACAGTCTTGGTTTGAGATGTACTATCAGAATGCTGCTATTCCAGATGTATATTTCCGTGACCAGCTTCGCTTGAGACAGGATACTTTTACAAGGATTCTTAACATGCTTCATCCACGACTAACACGACAAAACACCTACTGGCGTGAATGCGTATATCCCGAGAAAATTTTAGCGCTGGGACTCTACAGGCTTGCACATGGCAATTCCTACATCACGATTGCACCCGTGTTCAATGTCGGGAAAATCACATTAATAGAAGCGGTTCAAGATGTTRTTGATGCTCTCTGTGAGATAAAGAACAATTTTATTAAGTTCCCGCAAACCAACCAAGAGGACACCATAGACACCTTTATTGACGTTACGGAGCTACCACATGTTGTAGGAGCTATTGATGGCTCGCACATCAAAATAAAAACTCCGAAAGGTGGAAGTGGTCCTGATTATTTCAGTCGATTACAACAGCACGATGTGGTAGTTCAAGCGATAACAGATGGTGAAAAGCGGTTTCTGGATATTTCCGCTGGATATCCCGGAAGTATGCACGATTCAAGAGTGTTAAGGAACAGCAACATTTATCACAGAATAACAAATAATGAAATACTTCTTGGTCCTACTATCAGGGTTGGGAATAGAGATGTAAAGMCATACCTACTGGGTGACAGTGCGTATCCTATTTCAACGTGGCTGCTTAAGCCGTATCCCGAGACTACACGAGATCAAACTGAAGTTCATTTTAACCAGCAGTTATCAGCAGCAAGAGTTTCAGTAGAGTGTGCATTTGGCGTTTTGAAAGGGCGCTCGCGTATACTACAAAAACGGCTGGACAAGGACATTGCCTTTGTATCTCAAATAATTATTGCTTGCTGTGTGTTGCATAATTTTTGTATAGATGCAGACGATTTATGGGATGACGACGATGATAATAATGATCAAAACCAACATCCTGACCGAAACGCAAACTGCGATGGAGAGGAACTCAGGGATTGCTTAAAAGATTATATATGGAATTTGTAAATATGCGTTTTTGTTTTTATACTTTACATGTTTACTGATACTAATTGTATGAGGAAGTAGCTGATCCCATTAAAGAGTGCTCAATACACATAAAGTGTAGAGCTAGTTATATATATAATATCAAAGAGGCAAGATTTTGCTGTTACTCCGAGTTTCGTGCTACGCACTCATCAGACAGTATTTACTGATACTATAAAATTATTTTACCATAATCTTATAATACATACAGATAAGCAATACCATGCAATAATAGCGCTCCGCACAGATGACGTCACAGATTTTGTCACGCTCTTCAGACTCAGACAAACAAAGCACACGTGCATAGTCATTCTATTGAAAAATCTCCAGATATGACCTCCGTTTCTAGTACTTCTACTCAAAGATTAACGATTCTTACTGACGATGATGGTGTACCAGGCTCTCGGTTTGATCAAGAACCAGAAACTTATACTGTTGATCAGCTAAAACGCTGGTTAAAATGCCGAGGACTAAAGCAAAGCGGCAAGCGAAGTGAACTGCTAACGCGTGTGAAAGACTGCATTGCTGCAAGAAATCACCAAAAACTGGATGTTAGTATTGATGAGGGAAAGTGGTTTGCCGCTAAAGTTTTGAAAGAAAGCAATGGAKAACGTGTAAACGTTTCAAAACCGGACCACAGTAGCCAGAAAACTGTTCCCAACGTCCCGTCAAATGCATAGAACGCGTTTCAATCGCAGGATATCCCTTCGATGTTTAACTACGGGCATATCCATTACTATGCCGTGGAATCAATCCAGGTCGAGAATACGTACAAAGATTGCGACGATGAGGATGATTATAAACTAGGACATATGACCGATAAGCCACTTAAAAATGGCAGAAAATACTGTCGCTGTAGCCATGTTGTTGCGCTGTTGATGTTTCTTGATGAGCATGTGAAGAAGAAYGGAGCTAAAGTTACTATGCCCTGTACAAGTAAGCCTTGTCCTTGGAATAAGGGCAAAAAAAGAAACAAGAATCCACAAAGACTTTCAGATGCAAATTACCCATCAAAGGTGAAGAAAGGTTCTACCATCGACTTGATAGACTTTGATCCAAGACCAAGTTCAAGACGACATGTCAGTACTGAAACTATCAACAAGTTTATTCGTGGTCTTGAGTATATTTCTGCACGAAATAACGAYGGTGAAGTCTCAATGTGGGAAACCTCATTGGAGTACTCCTACAAAGACTACAACCTCAACGTTGAGAAACAACAACTTYTTGATGAAAATGTTGACAAACTTAAGGCTAATTTGACACCAGAGAGGACCAAGGAAATGGAAGGGACAAGGGAACAAAGCCCTTCAGAGCAATGGTATTTGGAACGTTCCTGGAGACTTACAGCTTCGAAGTGTCTTGAAGCTTCCAACATTGCAAAATTAATCCCAGACAATAATAACAATGCTTCAGTGAGAGCAATGAATTTTATCTCTTCTAACATTTGGAAGTTAGACCCTGTAGAGTACAGTACAGCATACATGAGATATGGTCTGGAGAGTGAGCCTGAGGCTGTAAATAAATACCAACATCAGACAGGTGCACAAGTKCTTCAAACTGGGTTCTGGGTAAATCCACAATTCCCTTTTCTTGGATGTTCCCCTGATGGACTCGTAGAAAGTGATGGGCTTCTAGAAAT